TCGTCAGAAACTTCAGAACCTATAAACAACAAAAGCAAACTCAAAAGATGATCATACCTCAACGAAGAGGTTCAAATCTGGAAGAAATAATTAGGTCATGGAATAAGAATGAAAAGTTGACAAAAAAAATCAACAAAAAGAAACGATCATGGAATAAACTCTCTTCTATTGTTTGCTATAAATAAATTTAAAAAATATGGTTGAAAGAATAAACAGAAATTGTAAACATTAGAACCTATAAACAACAAAAGGAAACGATCATACTTCAATGGAGGTTCAAATCTGGGAAAAAAAAAGAGAGTAAAGAAATAGGTCAAAGAATAAGAATAAAAAGCTGCCAAACAATCGATGAACCTGCAAAATAAGAAAGAATTAACAACAAAATTCATCATAAACATTAGAACATAATATATTAGAGACTGAAAAACGACCAGAATCATCAAATCAAAACCTATAAAATACTAAAAGGTTAATAGAACATTGATTTGCGCAAGACCGAGAAAACACCTATTTATATATAAACAATAGCTAGGGTTTCATTTATTCGAGAATATCTCATAGAATTTTAAAATATAGTTGAAAAAACTTTAGTTTTAATTTTTCTATGGAATTAAGGGAAAAGAGCATTTTTCAACCTAATGCATTTCCTCTGTTTAGGTAACTAGTAACAGTCGCCATGATATAAAGCTTTATTGGTGGGAAGTAACAGAGGCTGAGCACAAACTTTCCACAAAGACCTTGACTTGTAGACTAAACGTGTCTTATCGTTCGAATCCAAGTAAACTATTACAGAGACTTTTATGTTAACACTTAACATTTTCATTAAGTGGGACAAAACTTTCTAAAATACACAATTATTACTTGATGAATATGGGTTTTCGATGAAATTTGAAATTCGTATAAATCTGTGGAGGTATCTGCATTGAATTCACAGCCTCACATTGAGTTTAAGTGTCGTTCATTTGCTTTTCTTAACATCTCTTTGCAATGAAAAGGAAGGTGTTGTTGGGACAATACTTGATATGGGTGATGTTACTTTTGGGGAAGCTACACGGATACAAAAGCTGTATCCAGAAAGAAAGGAAGGCTTTATTGGAGCTCAAGAAATACATAATCTCAATTACTGAAGAAGATCAAACCGATTGTGTTCTCCTTACTTGGACCAATGATTCAAAAATTGATTGCTGCCGGTGGGAGGGACTTAAGTGCAATCGTACAAGCGGGCGGGTGATGGAGATTGTCTTTGGTGGACTGTACCTCAAAGAGAGCTCTCTCCTAAATCTTTCTTTGCTGCATCCTTTTGAAGAACTTCAACTTCTGGATTCAACTGACTACGAAGACAAAGGGTTTAGTGGCTTGTTTGATGATGTCGAAGGGTAGTTTTTAACATTTTTTTTTTTTAACCTTAACATTTTGTTTTCCATTGAGACTTTGATATTTTCCCTGTATTGGACTAATTCTTTGGTCATTGTTTCAAATTCTAGAAATTTTTCTATTTTGATATTTATGGTACCTTAGATACTCAAAATTTTACGCTTACAAGCGTTAGAGTTCATAAATTTTAAGAGTAGATTTGGCCATTTGGGGATCTCATTTCAAGGACTTTGATTTGATATATAAATTTTGTGGTTTGATAAATTTAGAAGGGTTATATTGCGGGTTGACTCTTACTTGGAAG